TAAACATATTTTACAAGTATGTCTATGGTAAATAATGACTGTTGCAAAAGATGTGTCAGCTTTATTTGCAGCCATCTATAGATACAGTGAAGTGAAGATTAAATTACCACCTGTGTGACTGAATAGACATGTTCTGCTGGTTGTACAGAGCCTCATAATATAGAAACAGGAAAATCCAAACTCTGCTCCTCTTCTCTTGACTAAAAAGAACGCTTGGACCTGGAAAAGTCTGCTAACTGTATAAACTTACTGAGCCTGGATGAATTTCATAATATAATAATCAATGTAATAATTACAAACACATACTGGCGTAAGAAAAACATAAATTACATGTAAAAAGTAAGTACACCAAAAGGAAATCGTTGATTTTTTTTAATGTATATGACGTGATAAATGTTAGATCTTTATTCAAACAGTGCCTACAGATAAAAGTCATAAACTTGGAACAAATGACCGATGGTGCTGACATTGTGTATTCGTTTTTATCATTTAAAAGAAAATGCACATTAGTCACATGAAAAAAGTAAGTACGCCCAACATTTCAGATCCATAAAAAATAAAATCAGGTATTCCAGATTAGGTGCCAATGATTAGAACCTTCCTAGGTACTGTACGGGTGGAACCTGTCTTATTTAACCGCCTCCCAGCCGGCCATTGTAATAAAAGCTGGCTGGCCGGGAGCTTCCTGGATGTAAAGTGCGCGTGCGAGAAACTGCCCGGATTTAAAAACAGGCAGCCTGTTAACATACAAACGATCCGCCTCCGCGGCCCCCCTTCCGCTGGTCCCGAGGTCCGCTGTGCCTGAGACCAGCATCCTCTGTAACAGGGGATTAGAGGGAGATCGGTACACAATCTCCCTCCGGGTCCCCTCTCCGGTGTCACAATGGGGAAGTGATGTATATTACATCACTTCCGCATTCTGCTGTCACTCTCCAGCTTCAGAAGCTGGAGAGAAGCTGATGAAGCAGATCTCTGCTTCATCAGCTTCTTTGGGGGGTCCTAGGTGACATTAGGAGTCTTGAAGACCCCTGATGTCTCCATAAAGAGGACCTGTCACATTTCTTTGCCATCACATAGGGGGTTTCTTAGCCCCCTATGTGGTGCAGTAACAATAAAGTTAAGTGTAAAAAAAAAAAAACTTTAACTGAACAAGCTAAAGAGAAAAGCTGATTGGTTGCCATGCACAGCTACTCCACATTTTGTCTGCTTCAGTTTTGATAAATTCCCCCCATTGTTGTTTGGTCATGCTTACAGCAGACATGTTTAACACAAACCCCAATACAGCATTTCATGAGAAGAACGTCATACCAATTGTGAAGCATAGTGGTGAAAATATGGTTTGGGGTTGCTTTGCTGCTTCAGGGCCTGGGCAGCTTGAAGCCAACTATGCATTCTGGAACTGTAAATAAATATTTGAACATGATAATGATCTGAAGCACAGTGGAGAATGAATCCACAAATAAATGGCTTACAAAATAGAGGGTTATGGACGGACTTATTTAAAGCCCCTTTGAAATGTTGTAGGGGGATGTGCAAGAGGCAGTGAAAGGAAATCCATATACACCGTGCAACTAAAGGAATTTTGAAGTGAGGTCAAACATTTCACAAGGGTGAAATAAAAAACAACCGGTGGGCAGCTGTGCAAAATGCTTACATTAAGTCATTTCTGCTACAGGGGGCAATACAGCCAATGATGTACCTACTTTTTGCACAGTACATGTTGGCATATAATAATATTTTCATTAAATACATTTATAAGAGGCATACTTAGTGTTTCCCCTGACTATCTTCAAGACAGGCCTAGTCAAAAGGCTGATACTTTTGTCATAGCCTTGGGTACACGTCTCTAAGCAGTGACGCTGTAGTGACGGAATGGCTAGTTCTTGTACTCAGAAGTGAGAGTGTGCGTACTAGGGTGACAACAATGCTGCTACATAGACTCACATGGGAGAGAGCATTGTCATCCGAGAAGAAGATACTTCAGGGAATCACCAGGTTAAAAAAAAAAAAAGCCGACCTGCCTGCCTGTG